GGAGCCCGATGCGGGACTCGATCCTGGGACTCCAGGATCATGACCTGAGCCGAAGGCAGTCACTTAACCAACTGAGCCACCCAGGCGCCCAGCACTTACCTATTTTTTAAAGATTTCTTTTTTTAAAGATTTTATTTATTCATTTGAGAGAGAGAGAGCACGAGAGAGAGCGGAGAGCACAAGTCGGGGGGGAGGGGCAGAGGGAGAGGGAGAATCAGACTCCTGGCCGAGCAGGGAACCTGACTTGGGACTTGATCCCAGGCCTCTGGGATCATGACCTCAGCTGAAGGCAGACACTTAACCGACTGAGCCACCCAGGTGCCCAAAGATTTATTTTTTCATTTTAGAAAGAGAGTGCGCATGTGTGAGCAGGGGGAGGGGCAGAGGGAGAGAAACTCAAGCCGACTTCCCGCTGATCATGGAACCCGACCTGGGGTTCGATCTTATGACCCTGAGATCATGCCCTGAGCCGAAACGAGGACTTGGTTACTCAACGGACTGAGCCACTCAGGCGCCACAGCACTTACTTCTATTAATGAAGGGTTGGATTTTTAACATAATGTAAATTTCCACAGATGCATTTATTGACGCGTGCAACATCTTTCTGCGAATCAAATCACAAAAATATTTGGCTGTCAGAGCTGAGAGGTCTTTCTAAAAGTGTTTGTAGATATTTTGTAATAAATGAACATAACAAAATGGTTAAAAGCCTATATGCTCTTGGATCAGACAGCCTGTGTATAAATCTTGCCTTTTCTGTTTCCTTGCTATGTGGTTTTGATCAAGTTAACACCTCTGTGTCTCTACAAAATAGATATGACAACAGCCCTAACTCATTGCGTTGCTCAGAAGAGTAAATGATTTTTATGCATAGAACATCCAGAAGAGAGTCTAATACATAAATAGGATCAATACCCCATATGCCATGGTATTATTTCTTCCTCGGTGTATAAAGAACTCAATCTCCCCGAGATAGAGATAAAATTCTCTTATGTGTAAAACGGGAATATTTATATTTATATCATAGGGTTTTTGTTAGAATTAAATGAGATAGTACATTTAAAGAGCTTAGTAAGTGCCTGGTACTTAATTTTTAGTTTATCAGATTTGGCTGGGTCTACAGTGTGCTGGTAAACCTGTCCTAACCATGTTGAATGATCCTGTAGGGACTGGCCAAGCAGGCAGGCAAAGGGAAAAGCAGAGGGTGGAGGACAAGCCTGGTGTTGTTGAAATGCCAGGCAGATGGGGGAGGTAGAGAAGATGCCCCTGGTGTCTGGACACCTGTTACTGGAGACCCTTTGCCCACCTTCCTAGCAGGCTTCTTAGTGGTTGGCGAGCTCATAGCTTCTTAGGACATTTTAAAGAGAGAATCAGTGAGATATGGTTCCTGCCTGTATGTGTGCATGGGGTGGGGGCAAGGTACCTTTGCCTTGAGACTCTGTGCAGGGGGTGCTTTGAGCCCTTAACAGAAGCAAAGTAGTTTGGAGGAGGAAGTCGTTTTAGGAGGGAAAATGAGACGACCCTTGTGGGTCTGTTACCTTTGAGATGCGGTATAGCAAACCCTTACACATATCCAGCAGGCAGTTTGGGGATGTGTCTAAAGTTGAGAAGGGGTTGGAGGTCAGAGCAAAGACTTGAACCATTTACATAGGAGTGGGAGGGGAGACCATGGGACCATTAGCTAGCGTGGGACCCTGACCAGCCCCCTAGCCCCTCTGAGTGCTTGCTCTGTGTGTCAGTCTTGTTAGGAGGGCAGGGACATGTGTCCCTCCCTTTACAAGCCTGGCAGCTCTGTTTAAAACAGGGACCATGGAGAAGGCAGGGACCGTGTCTGGCCCTATTGCTAATAAATATTGGCTACAAGACTGGTTTCTAGAGATGGACCCAGGAAAATTCTTTGTAATGTGAAACACTACAGAAATCACAGTAAAAGGTGGTATTATCAAGAAGGGATTGGATACATTCATGGGCCAGAAATCTCCACCACTAAGAAGTGGAACTGAGGCAAGTTTGAAAGCTTTCCACAATGTTTCAGAATGTCTTTTCCCTGAGGAGGAAAAATCACGTAGGATTTTCTTTCTTCTGGCCACTTGATATTTACTGATTGCACTGATGGTTCTGACACATTTGTCATTAGAATTACATTGATAAGGGGTTTCTTCCTTTTCCTTTCCTGAGCCTAGAATGCATGCATTGAACGGGATCGAAATTTGAAAATGTGGTCCCTACAGTGACTTCCTCAGGAGAAGTCCTGCTGTCGCCCCCGATAAAACTTCTAGACTCTGGTCTCATGCCTTTCTTGTCACATTTCCCATCCAGATTTGGAACTTGGCTTCAAACAAACTAACATTCTTGAACTCCTACAAAATGAAGATGTCGGTCATCCTGGGAATTGTCCAGATGGTTTTCGGTGTTATTCTCAGCCTTTTCAATCACATGTAAGTTTTCATGATTAACTTGCTGCCTGTTGGTCTGACCCTGTCGTTGAGGAGCAGGGACAGAGCCGCCCGTGTGGCCCCTTTGTGCAAGAGTTTCCTTCTTCCTACGGGGAATGCTTTGCCATGTCTCTTGGCTTGAGCCAGGACAGGCTGGTTTGGCAGAAGTGGGACCTCTGTTTCTCCTGAGGTGGGTCACTCAAGTAGGAGTGTTCCTTTCACCTCAGAAATATTTGAGGGTTCAGAAACAGACTGGCAAGCCCATCGCACCTTGGGTCCCCCAACCTGAAAGGCCTCGGTCACTGCCATATCCAGGAGAAGCTCCCACCAGTGGGCAAATGAAGACGTAAGTACATTGGGGCCCACGTGCCCTCAGATTCTCAATTCCCTTTGATGTCAGCAGCCTCTCACTTGGGCTGTTCGTGTCTTATCTTTCCTTTCCTTGTATCAAGCTGCATCTCGGAAAACTTCTCAAACCTATTTTTCTAAAGGCAACAGTGTATGAAAACATGGAAAGTGGAATGTGGAATGTGCAATGTGGAAAACATGGACTCTTAAGCTTCCCCCCGGAAGCGACCCACACCACTTCTGTTCCCATTGGCCAGAGCCAGCCCCGTGGTGCCCCCAGCCTGAAAGCTCATACAAGTGCAGATCTATTCGAAAAATCAGATATAGTTAGCGAGTCAACTAGTGACAATTAGTGACCAGTGACCCTGGTACCACTGCCTCCCTGGAAGGGCCACGAGAATTAAATGAGAGATAATCCCAGAAAGTATTTTCTGGAGCAGTCTATCATTGGTTTCATTGTGTTTCAGGCCGGCCTCAATGATCTAGGGATGCTGTTTTATCGTGAGATCTCCCTTTTCCCTCAGATAACTCTTGCAATTAGCAAAGGGAGTGGGGGCCCTTTCTGACATTTTAACTTGGGGGCCCCCAACTTAGCCTTGTGGGACTCTCTCTATATCTTAGAGCAGGAGTTGGCAAACTCTTTCTGTAAAGAGCCAGAGAGTAAATATTTTGGGCTCTGGAGGCCAGATGGTCTCTGTCACAACTACGCAATCCTGGCGTTGGGGCATAAAAGCTGCCATGGACAATCTGTCAACGGATGAGTGGATCTGTATTCTAATAAAACTTTATTAATGAACACTGAAATTTGAATTACATATAATTTTCACATATCGTAAACTATTGTTCTTTTGAGTTTTTTGGTCAACCATTTAGAAATGTAAAAATCATTTTCAACTTGTGGAATGGGCTCAGTTTGGCCCATAAGCCTTAGCTTTCCTACCCCTGTCTTAGGAGAAAAAGCTTCCTGGTCGCCCTTCTATATCTTTGTGCCCTTGGGTGTGTTGGTATGAGCTAGGTGTGCAGCTCAAACCACCAGCTCTCCCTGCAGACCTGCCCTTTGCTTCAGACACCACCTTCCAGACCCTGGTTCTCTTGAATCCTTCCTTTCTCCTTTCCCGTCCCTGCATAATTGCTGCTTGCTAAGGGAGTAAATGCAGTGTGCGAAAAATGAACATTTTGTGCTTTGGGGCGAATAATTAGTTCCTGATATTCACTCAGTGTTCTATCTTTCATGTGTGTGTTTCCCACCCCCAGATACTTCAGAAGAACTCTCAACATCGTTCTGCAATTTATTCCTGAGATGATTTTTATCCTGTGTCTCTTTGGATACTTGGTTTTCATGATCATTTTCAAATGGTGCCACTTTGATGTCCATGCGTCCCAGCATGCCCCTAGCATCCTCATCCACTTCATCAACATGTTTCTGTTTAACTATGACGACCCTTCTAATGCACCCCTGTACAAACATCAGGTATTGATGGCTTTTTTTTTTTCTTCTTTTATGCACTTGATAACGTCACATCTCTCTCACACTCTTGAGCATTGCAGAGAATAGTTATTTGCAAGACTGAGCCATCTTAGCACCCACTCAAGGTTGTTGACACCTGGATGTCCTCATCAAAGACGGGCTGTGCCCCTCCTGTGGCTGCTTGTGGCCTCATGCGCTTGAGTCCTAGCTGTGTTCACCTCCTATAGGAGCAACAAAATTAGAAGAGAAAATGCCCTGTGGCGGGGCATTTTTTATGAAAAATAAAGATAATTCAGATCTAAGATAATAATCAGAGAAGACCTATATCTCTGAAAGCTCTTTTGAGGTAGCCCACTTTACTGCTGTAATGTTTTTGTTATACCTCTGTGAATGGTATACGAACAACCCCTAGACCATGAGCACTAAATGAACATATTTGGAAGGTTCATTTACTCAGGGCCAGAGTTCGAATGAAAGTTCACTTGGATTTCCCAAACAAGTCTTCTCTTTTTGGCAAAGGACTCAGACTCACCAACTATTTCATGCGCTAACTCCTTTCATAGAGACTAAAGTCCTCACCTGGTTTGGAATATGCACTGAACTTTGCACAGTGAATGGCTTTTCCAGCTTTTTTCCCCCTTTAAAACCCTTATTGGGAGCTGGCTGGTTTCCCTGTGCCCTGGTATGAAGATGCATTATCCTGACACAGTTTGAAGTTTCCATAGGCTCATTTTGGGGTCATGCAGCTGGAAGAGACGATGTAAGTTGATAACCCAGCCCCTTCCCAACACTGCCATGGCCATCGTGGTGCCATGTTTGAATATCAGAGAAGAAGAGCAACAGATAAATATAAATCTCTGGTTGCTGTGTACATCGTGAGGTGGAAAACCTTGCATAAAGGTGGACAAATGGCGATGAGGTAGCGCAGGAAGCTAGAACTGGCAAGCCCGGTGTGTGTTTCTGAGGCTCCCTTCTCTCTTCTGAGCATTTCAGAGGGGAGGAGGGTAGAAGACTGAGGGGATAGGATGTCCCCACTGTTAGCAGGGTGAATCTTGTTACGACTGGCATAAAAATCATCCCCTGGCATTGACTGAGAGCTTGGCCAGAATAGTAGAAGAAAAGTGAAGGTCTAAGAAACATTTTTCTTTTCCGCCCTTGAGCACCCAGTGTCCATGCCTTTTAGTAGCTCCGACTAAGCCTCCCCGGGCTTCCTGGCTCTTTGACCCAGCAGCTCTGAGTCACTCCTCCAAGTTGGTGACTAGGGGTTTTATAATAAGAGGTGGGGGCATGAGGACATGAAAGGAAATGTGTAGCAGGATGATAAGGTGGGACAAATTCTGGGTTTCAGCAGAAGCATCAAGACCATGGCTGCCTCAGCCCAGAGGGAGCTGTGAGGGAGACAGCCAGGGAGAGTCCAACATGGCTACCCCAGAGCCCGGCGGGTGACTCACCCACAGCAAGAGCATGAGGAAGCTTTTTTTTTCTTTTTGAGAGGAAGTTTTTTTTTCTTTTTGAAAGAGAGCAACAGAGCACAGATAATTATCTAGTCCTGGGAATATACAATTGCTAATTGAGATCATCTTTGTCACTTAAAGTGACCCAAGGGGTTTTGGCTACTAGGGAGTGACCAGTGAAGTCATGGGGCCTGCCACACTTTTCATGCAGGGCCAGGGGCTAACTATTCCCATGGGACAAGGGATAAATAAAGTGGCCCTTATTATGTGCCTTGTGAGTACTTCTTGTTCACATATGGGGTGGGAGGATAGCAAGGGGATACTCGAAGAGTAAGGAATAAGATAGTGAGTTTCCAGTGCCCACTCTGGATTGACGCTGGGCACCGCTGGACTGCAGTGGGAATACTCCAAGATGTAAAGGCGAATGGATACATTGACATGCTTTAGATCTCTCAAAATAAAGTATAACTAAAATGATGCATATTTATAATTTTTATCATGTAAGTTATGCTGTGTGATCACCTTGAAGTGATGGGATCTTACGACTTTGATCTCACAGCAAGAAGTCCAAAGTTTCTTTGTTATTATGGCTTTGATTTCTGTCCCATGGATGCTTCTGATTAAGCCGTTTATTCTTAGAGCCAATCATCAAAAATCCCTGGTAAGTGCCTATTCATTTCCATTCACTCACTGTGGGTAAGAGTGTGGGTTCCTTGAACATAGAAGTCTGGGCTTTCAACAGAATGCTGGGCTTTGGGGGCCTTCTTATTTCCAGGACAATGCTCTATTAAATAGGGCAAGCACATTTAAATCTTATGTTTTGCAAACTTTGCTCAGGGTATGTGTGTGCATCTGTGTGTGTGCACCAAGTCTACTGGTAGCTAATGACTTATGAGTCTGAACATGGTTGTGTTATTAGTTGAAAGTAAAAGTATTTTACTATAGTTTGAGTTTGTTGGTGAATATTGAAAGCTGTTTTTATCAGATTTTACAGTTGTGAGCTTTCACTGTATTATGTTACAGTGTGCTAGTGCAGGAGTAAAGAAATACAAATAAGCCAGCTTCCGTTTATTTGTGATTTTTCCCTATTGCCAAACACCCATTTCAGCCCATTTCCTCCTTTTGTGTGAACTGCTCCTGAGCCTCGCATTTATTCAGGGAATGAAGAAGAGTTTACTATCAGTCTAAATCAAATAGGATTTGGGAAGATTGACCTCCCAGGGCACGTCAGAATCTAGAAATCCACATGAGCGCTGCTTGAGATTATCAGTCTCTGCTCTCTCTATCTACATCAGTGCAAAAGAGTAAGTGGAATGTGCTGAGATCACATATGTTTTAAGTGGCTGTAGATATTTTCAGATAAATTCGTACTTTTCTAAAATCTGTGGGATATTGACTTGGCTGAGTCAGGGACCTGGAGATGAGACTGGAGTTCCGGAGGTTCGTCCCTAGGTGGCGCCCTTTCCCTACATCACCTGCTTCTCTTCTGTTGTGTCTGGTCAGCCTTGACTAGTTAGGAAGCCTGTCTGGTAAATAAATTCAAGTGGGAGATGAATTTAAAAAAAGACAAAGCAAAGAATACTTGTTTATTGTTTGGCTAATTGGTGAGAGGCCCAGATGATAAAGGGCGGGTGAGGTGGAAGGTCGTCTAGAGGTGACCAAGTGTTTCAAAGGAAGGCGGCAGATAGCTGTTTGCCGACACAGATATCACTCTTTTCTAAAACTCAGCCTGTCCATTAAGTCAAGTGAGCTTACGCCCGTAAGTCCGTAAGTGAGCCACTGGCTCACCTGACTCCCCAGACTCTAAAATAATAGCTTGCCTTGCTCTTTGCTCCACAAAAAGTGTAAATAGTTGCTGATCTCAACGTGGTTGATTTCTCGCTTTTCTCCACGATGACTTATATAATAGGGAAGGAAGTCAGAGGAGGTTTTCTTAGTGTGCCGTCTTGGATGACACCCCCTAAAACGACTCTGGGTAGCAGGAGCTCGCCGAGACTGCGTGGAGGCCTGTCTCCTTGGGCTCTCCTTGGAATGCATAGCTGTTGGTTGGTCTTTTAGGCTGCCGATTAGGATCCTGGTAGTCCTTTTTCATGTTAGAAACATTTCTACCACCTCCATCCAAGAGATGATTCCATAACGGCATTATTTGGGCACCCAGGTGCCCTAGTTTCATTTATTCTTAAATGCTATGTAAGGGGGATCATACAGTACGCCCTCTTTTGGATCTGGCTTCCTTCATCCAGTGTCATATTCCAGAGGTGTGTGTGAACATGTGTGTGTGTAGAATTGCTATATAGTATTACTGTATAGGAATATACCACAGTTTATTTATCCATTTGTATATTGATAGTTATTTGGCTTGTTTCCAGTTTTATTATATCTTCGTTTATTTTGTTTTTAATTAAAATTTTTTTATTATGTCTAAAATACCAGTATAGTTAACATATATAGTGTTACATTAATTTCAGATATACAATGTAGTGATTCAACAATTCTGTATAATACCTGATGTTCATCACAGTAAGAATACTCTTAATCCCTTTCACCTATTCTACCCATCCCCCCACTCACCTCTCCTCTGGTAACCACCAGTTTGTTTTCTGTAGTTAAGAGTCTGTTTTTTTGTTTGTCTCTTTTTTTTTTCTTTGTTCATTTGTTTTGTTTCTTAAATTCCACATGAGTTAAGTCATATGGTATTTGTCTTTCTCTGATGGACCTATCTCACTTAGCATTATATCCTCTAGATCACCCATGTCATTGAAAATGGCAAGATTTCATTCTTTTTTTATGGCTGAGTAATATTCTAATACACACACACACATCACCTCCTCTTTTTTTCATTCATCTGTTGATGGACAGGTTGCTTCTATAATTTGTTGTCAGTAATGCTGCAATAAGCTTAGGGGTACATATATCTTTTCAAATTAGTGTTTTCGTATTCTTCGGGTAAATACCCAGTGGTGGAATTACTGGATCATATGGTAATTCTATTTCTATTTTTTTGAGGAGCTTCCATACTCTTTTCCACAGTGGCTGCCCCAGTTTGCATTCCCACCCATAGTACACAAGGTTTCTTTTTCCTCTACATCCTCTCCAACACTTGTTGTTTCTTGTGTTTTTGATTTTAGCCATTCTGTCAGGTATGAGGATATAGCTCATTGTGGTTTTGATTTGCATTTCCCTGATGGTGAGTGATGTTGAGCATCTTTTCATGTGTCTGCTAGCCAACTGTGTGTTTTCTTTGGAGAAATATCTATTTGTGTCTTCTGCCCATATTTTAATTGGATTATTCTTCTGGTGTTGAGTTGTGTAAGTTTTTATATATTTTGGATACTAACCCCTTACCGGATATATCATTTGCAAATATCTTCTCCCACTCAGTAGGTTGTCTTTTAGTTTTGTTGATTGTTTCCTTTGCTGTGCAAAACCTTTTTATTTTGATGTAGTCCCAGTAATTTATTTTTGCTTTTGTTTTCCTTGCCTTAGAAGACATGCCTAGAAAAATGTTGCTATGGTTGATGCCAGAGACCTTACTGCCTGTGTTCTCTTCTAGGATTTTTATGGTTTCAGTTCCACATTTAGGTCTTTAATCCATTCTGAGTTTATTTTTGTGTATGGTGTGAGAAAGTGGTCTAGTTTCATTCTTTTGCATGTAGCTGTCTAGTTTTCCCAACACCATTTGGTGAAGAGACTGTTTTTTTCCCATTGCATATCCTTGCTTCCTTTGTCAAAGATTAATTGACCATATAATCATGGGTTTATTTCTGGGCTCTCTATTCTGTTCCATGGATCTATGTGTCTGTTTTTGTGCCAGTACCATACTGTTTAGATTACCACAGGTTGGTAATGTAACTTGAAATCTGGAATTGTGATACCTCCAGTTTTGTTCTTCTTTTTCAAGATTGCTGTGGCTATTTGGGGATCTTCCTTTGCTGTGCAAAAGCTTTTTATTTTGATGTAGTCCCAATAGTTTATTTTTGCTTTTGTTGCCCTTGCCTCAGGAGACATATCTAGAAAAATGCTGCTATGAATGATGTCAGAGAAGTTACTGCCTGTGCTTTCTTCTAGGATTTTTATGGTTTCAGGTCTCACATTTAGGTGTTTAATCCATTCTCAGTTTTATTTTTGTGTGTGGTATAAGAAAGTGGTCTAGTTTCATTCTTTTGCACGCTGCTGCCCAGTTTTCGCAACACCATTTGCTGAAGAGACTTTTTTCCCCATTGCATGTCCTTGCTTCCTTTGTTAAAGATTAGTTGACCATATAATTGTGGATTTATTTCCTGGCTCTCTGTTTTGTACCACTGATCTATGTGTCTCTTTGTGCCAGTACCACACTGTTTTGATCACTACAGCTTTGTAGTAAATCTTGAAATCTGGGATTGTGATATCTCCGGTTTTGTTCTTCTTTTTCAAGATTGCTTTGGCAATCTTTTGGGTCTTTTGTGGTTCCATACAAATTTTAGGATTGCTTATTCTAGCTCTGTGAAAAATGCTGTTGGTATTTTGATAGGGATTGCATTAAATCTGCAAATTGCTTTGGGTAGTATGGACATTTTAACAGTATTTGTTCTCCCAATCCATGAGCATGGAATATCTCCATTTTTGTGTGTGTCATCTTCAATTTCTTTCATCAGTGTTTTGTAATTTTCAGAAATACAGGTCTTTCACCTCCTTGGTTAAGTTTATTCCTAGGTATTTAATTCTTTTTGGTGCAATAGTAAATGGGATTGTTTTCTTAATTTCTCTTTCTGCTACTTCATTTTTAGTGTATAGAAATGCAACAGAGGGCGCCTGGGTGGCTCAGTTGGTTAAGCAACTGCCTTCAGCTCACGTTATGATCCTGGAGTCCCGGGATCGAGTCCCACATCGGGCTCCCTGCTCGGCAGGGAGTCTGCTTCTCCCTCTGACCCTCC